CCTTCACACCAAGAAGATCCACCCTTGGAAACCAGTGCCACTGAACTGCCCAGTCCTCCGGAAGAACCCACTGTCTCAGCTCCTTCACGATCTCCGAACAAACCTTCAGCTCCAGAAACTGAACAGAAAAAGACGGTGATCGAGATGCGCTCCAGTTCCGTGTGGGACACCAGCCAAAACAGCACTCGCTCGCCAATCTACGACCTGAAGTTCGACCCCATGAGGCCTTCCGCGTTCCAGATTCTGAAGTCCCAGCTGCGCCAAGTTCCTCTCCCTGCCACTTGTCCCTGGCCCCCCCGAGGATGTCCTCCTTTGGTGGCACAACCCGCCTGATGTGAAGCGCAGCGATGGCAAACTCGAAAGACTGAAGGAGCTCTTTTTGTTCCACCGCAACGGCGCCGTTCTTCGGAGACGGGAAGATTGGTTCTTCGCCGCCTCCGAGGCGTCGAAGGACCCGGAGCTCTCCGCCCGCGCCGTTCGGGTCGCTCGCAGGTACATTTTCGAGGGCCGCTACGCGGTGGCGCCGGCCGAGCGGCGGGTGACGGTCACCAGGGATCGAGTTGCTTTGGCCTCCGGCACCGGAGCCGCCGCCCCCGCAGAGGTGCGCTTCAATCGGTGGGGGGGGTTGGGTGGTGGTGGTGAGGAAGGCTTCGACCTGGAAGAGCTGTCCGAACGGTCGAAGAGGCCGGGCGCGAAGCCGATGGCCTGGCCGGATCAAGAGCTGTCGGAAGAGACGTTGAAGGATTTGGAAGAGGACTGGAAGGAGGATGGGCCTTGGAATCCGGAGAATCTATGGTTCTTTACCGCGGACCTGGGTTGACCACATCGTGGACATGTATACATCGGATCTCAAAACCAAATATAGTTTCACGGTCTTTTCGATGCCTGAATTGAGTCGCTGCAGCGCAAAGGCGTAGCAGCTAGTGGATCAGGTCCAGCACGTTCACCAGCCAACAGCATGGGTTTCAGGAGGACATGCAGTTATAAGACATAGTGCAATAAGACATTGTGTGGCCTGATTAATTTGTTATCCTTTTCCTCATTGTTTGGGACGGCTGGGGATGTGCGTCAGCTCGCTTGCATGGAGTGGAGAAGAAGTTCGCTTCCAGATGGGTCAGCTGATGAAGATGCATTTGATCATGGAACTTGCAGCTTCCCTTCATGACTCATAATGATTTCTGACGTGCTCGCTCAAGCATCCGCGGCTTTAGCGTGTGACTTGTTTGTCGAGTTGCGTGGCTCTTCATGCTAGTCCGTGGCAGTAACTGAAATCCAAACAGCTGAATAGAATTTGTCATTTGACTATAGCTCGGGAACATCGCATTTTAAGCATGGACTTGATGGTCGCCATAATTGCAGGTCCCATTGTTTAAGCTCCATGAAGTGTGCCAAGTAAAGTCACCACTAGTCATGCATAGGACTGACAATGGCCGGTGGACAAACAGTATTCTTGCTTCCGCATCATCATCCAATCATTGACAACCTTGAGGGAGAGTTCCTGACTCCGACTCCGCCCAGAGAATCACACCTGCCCCTGGCTATATTTGCGCCACCTGCCATGACGGGGCGCATTTCTTGGCGCTGGCGGGCCAGTGACTGCCGGGATGAAGCTCGGCTGAAGGATTGCCTAATGGGGAGGTAGGGTAGTAGCAGTGGCTTAGCAGATTGATCATCCTAAAGAAGATGGGTCAATTGCAGAGATCGACACAAAGGCGGTAGTTAAGTCTACTGTATGCTTGCTTTGGTTGATGTTTCTTGTGCTTGTTGCCATGGACATTTGACCCGAAAACTGAGTTTGTCGCCTAAAACTTGGCTTCGATTCGATGGCAACATGGTTGTCATCATGGTGTTGACTGTCGACCGGCATCGCTTGTGGAGCCATGGGGTCGTTCATGTTTGCCCAGAAGCGAAGTCGAAGAGCTGGAAGGAGCATTGATTAATTGGATCAATGCTTACCCCTTGGTGAAAAAATCCCCGACACCTAATCAGCTACAGAGCCGACACCTATAGCATACTCATTCATTGTTTCTTTTGCTCACCATGGCAGGGGATTGAACTATGCGTGGACATACCGTAATACCGGGTTCCGGTTCTTCATCAACAAACAGCCATCATCATCACAAGCAGTTTTCCACGTCACGTTTCCGAACCCGTGCACCCCCAACTTCAATGTTGTCGCGTGAAGTTCGGTATCGGCAGCCTTCGGAGAAGAAAACAACAACATCCATTCAGGTCAGTTCATGTCAGAAGCCCAATCAGCAACATTGAAATAGGGGGATAGGGGGATTCAAGATCCTTATGAACTCTTTCTGAATGGCTTGTATTTTTGAAGAACCCGGTATGTGGCCTGACCTTTTTTTGCCGTTGCTGATTATCGCTGATTGCATTTTGTTGCCAAGGTTGCCCCGATGCAGATGTGGAGGAGTTTGATGACCTAGCAGATGGCGCCATTCTAGCAGTCCCACGACGATGCTCAAGTAGGACTCAGTTAAAGCTGCTAGCAGTCCTAGGGCCAGTCAACAAGGAGGAGGCTGGCAAGAATAATCTCGTTGATTCGTGTTTGCGTGCTTGTCACCAATTCAGAATACTAAACGGTCTATAGAGTCTAGGGTTGTCAGCACGTTGGGGGCAACCGGTGCGGCTCAGCCCAGGATGTGCTGCAGCTTTATGCGCCTGAGGTGGATCCGAACAGTGCTGCAGGTGGGTGATGGGTTGCCGACAACGCCGATGCTGGCTGCGGTGGAGACCCCTCCGAACGAGTCTCCTAGTCTTGGAGATTTGCCCATGTGTTCAATGACTGTTTGGCCTGTATGACTGCCCCACTATGGCAGAATCAGAACAGTTTTTCAAGGAGTCCTGCCAGCGCAAACGCCCAGGAAGCTGCTGTGCAAGCCATCATGAATCTGAATGAGACGCTCAGATGAATAGATGAGCCAAGGATGCTTATTTTCCAGCGCCGCGAAGGTCCAAGTTCCCAATGCAGCCCATGGATGTTCGAAAATGTCTCAGGTTCAGATGTGGATATAGTATCCAGGGAATCCAGGGCATATGATGCTTCCCAATTCTTCAGTTACCTCCTCATATGCGGGTTTGATCTCCCAAGGCCCAAGCAGATGGCACTGGGAGCCGCGTTGCAACAGCTCATGGCCCTTTCTGAGGCGTAGGAGCGCCGCTTGTCCGCCTTTGCCCTCCAGACAGGGGCGGATTGTTGGGTGGGTGGAAGGCTAGATGACAAGCTGAGAAGCCTCTGAACCTTAGGAAGGTCATTTAGTGCAATGCACACGAACCTGATGTATTTTGCAGGTCTTTGTGAACATGTATGTAGTCCACATATGTCATATGTCCATATTATATATCATTATAATTCATTATATGTATATATCTATATATTTTACAAATAGAGAGAATATATACATATATATATATATAGAGAGAGAGACAGATTGAGAGAGGGAGTTTTCACTTGAGAAGAACATGGTTCCGTACAATAGGGACCCCCTTCCGAACGCCATCGGCTCAGGCCACGCGGAGCCAAAGGTGGATGCCTCTGGGGAGTCGAGCCCGCCCACGCCGCGGACGCCGCGGGAGATGACGGACGCTTGGTGGCTGGAGGAGTGAGCTTCTGTGCTGGTCCATCCCCCACCGATTTGGATTTGAAGGGTTCCAACAGCAGAAGGCTGACGGACTTTGTCAGATGTTTCACACAAACAGGTGGGACTTTCATGGACCCTCCCAGACCTTGCAAAGTCCGGGGTGCCGCAGGGACACTGCTTTGGAGCTGGGCTGAGGCATACGTATCCGTGACAGACTTTCTCCAGGATGAAATCCAGACCGGGCATGAGATCATGCACAGGGAGATCCCACATGTTTTTGTGAAGCTACGTCGAAGCTGATATACATATATGATATAATGTGTATATATATATATACATACACTATACGCATATGATATAGATTGTATAGTAGCACCACATAGGCAGGGGTGGTTATTGGATGGAAAAGACCTAGGAACAGTTTTGGTGGGCCAAGGACCTTGTTTGGGTGGTGGGTTCAATCTATACAGATCACTCATAGTAGAGTCTTCTGCCCAGATGACGAAGGAGTTCACGGATCTCTTGCGAGGCAAATGACAGATGAAGCACTGTGGTCCTGTGGTCAGAACAACCGCAATTCATAATTCATAGGTCGTGGTTTCCGCGGTTGGCGGATGATGTTCGAGTTTTCCTTCACTGGGTGACTCCCCTGAAAACTGCGAAACTCGTCCTATTTGTTTCCCCAACAAGCATATCCACGTTTCACACCAATACTGGTGCCCAGGTCGCTCATGAACGCGGACTTGCACTGACCTCCACCGGCCGCCGGCATCCGGCATCGAAAGCGCAGCGGAGGACCAGTCCGTGCAGAACCGTGCAGACGGAAAAATGAGAAGAGTCCGCTGCTTTTTTACATGTCATGTTCCAAGTGAAAAAAGCGTTTGCCGGGCAAAAACTGTTTGATTTGGGACTTTTTATATTCTTTCTGGCTGGGCAGAGATGAGTGACGATCTATCCGTTACAGTACTTAGTTTTTGGTCATCCATCTTTGCGACGTCGTTGTGTTGAACTGAGTCGATAGATTGTTTGTTTTTGTTTTTTTGTTTTTAAATCACCACCAAAGAAGGTTCACTGGAGATAGCAGCGTATATACTATGAAGATCTATGAAGCTATAGTGTCTTCATGTGTCTTCCATTGTGACCATCCAACTGGTGCTTTAGCTTCAACGACTGAGAACTGGACACATTCCAGCTAACTTGCCAGTTGCTGGTACCCTTCAATTTCATATACTTATATATAATACAACAATCTCTATATAATTGTATATCTATACATGTACACATATATCTATATAGATATTTGTTTACATATTAGGTAAGATGCCCCTAAGCTCACCTGTCTTCCCTATCTCCTCCGCTCGCTCATCGCGCTGCCCTGACCTACGCGGCCGCTGCCCGACCTGCGAGGTCTGCGTGACCTGCGCCTCGCCGGTGCTGGCGCCCGAGGACTTCGCGCCTTTCTTCGGAGCTGCTTGGGCAGAGGTTCACAGCGGGGAGTAGTAAGTCGTAGAGCAACCCGGTGGAGGTGAAGGGGAGGTGAAGCCCGGAGAGATGATTCTGAGAACTGATGCTGAACTGATGGTTTTTTTGTTGCACCGAATGGTTTGCACATGGAGAAGTGTCTTGTACTTCATGAATCTGGATGGAATGAAAAGAAACTGAACTCCCTTCATTTTCCGGAGATAGACTTTATGAAGACCTTAAGACCCTTTTTTGCTGCGAGAGACCCCTCCAACAAGCTCGGTTCACTTGAAAAATGCCTTGAGCACAACGGCTCGTGATTTTCTCCAAGGATTGGATCATGAAGGCCTGTGCAGAGATGAGCCTCGAAGAAAAGGTTTTTGAGCGGATTCATTGGGATTCGCGTGGGCGCTGCGCGCACGCGCAGCATCTGAAAGAAGGTTCTTTGGGTCGAGTGGGAGTGACTGAGGAGGTGCATGAAGCAGACAATTCAAAAGACATCAATGTCGACAGCACATACGACATCAACATCACGTCGACTGGACACAACCAGCAACGTAAAATCACACTCCTCAACATGACAAAAGTTGGCCATTCCTTCTGGGTCGCTGCGGTCGCGTGGAAAAGTGGCGGTCGAACATGACTTGGGGTTTTGACATCGACTGGATCCCTCTGAGTCGACCGTCGTGCGATCGTGAGCTTGCTACGGAAGAAGATGTGGACTGGTCTTCCGACCGGAATCGGAAATCGGTGCAGGTCGCGGCCTCAAAAAGTAATGCTGGATTCAAATCCGATGAATTGAATCGAGCAAAGATGCCTGAAGGCATCCAGGGGGTTTTGGAATCAACTGCAAAAAGTGCCTTGAATCCTGGATTCATACCAGCTGAAATGCTGGCAGAGATTGCAGAGGCAGAGAGCTGTGGGCTGCCTGAAAAGAGCTCACCGAACATGACGACCACCACGTCTTCCGCGCGGTGACCATCAGGTTTGGACGCACACACCATCTCGCACCCAAGATGTGGTAGACCTGGATGATTCGCATGGCTAATATATAGATATATAGATTGTTTTATATAATACATATATATTTATTTTGTTTTCCTCTGTGATCCCAAGATTCTTTTGGAAGTTGGACTTGCTGCGACATTTGGGTGAATCAGGAAGCTGAGCTGTATCTCCTCTCGCCCACAGCTGGGGCCGGAGCTGCCGAAGGCCATCAGAAGCGAGCGGATTTCCACTCCGTCGTCCCAGACGCGAGCGAGACAAGCCTGGATGTAACTCCACAGTTGCTAACCACGTACTAGTTAAGTGATTGATCTTAAGGCATGACATATTGGAACATATTTTGGAACAACCATTTGTTTCTGGTTGTTTCAGTCTTTTTTCTGGCAGGTGAGTGGAGGCTGGTGTGACTGTGGCTTGCGTCTGTAGCATTGTGTAGCATTGTGTAGCAGGGTCACTACCATTACAAACTGGCTGCTTGGTTTCGAAGTCACTCATGACCAACGTGTCTTCCACCTGCATGGAGTCTCTCTCTCTATATATATATATATACATACACATACACCCTGGCATTCCAATTCCAACCACCATTGTTTTACTGGTCTTTCCCAAACAACAATTGCTTTGCTGAGGATTCTAGATAACAAAATCATCAACCATTCTTTTATATAATTGTCTTTGAAGACGAACGGGTATAGGTGCCATAATGCTACATCGTCCAAATGAGGTACATGCATAAGAAAAAGGCCGAAGCACCGGCTTCTCCGCCACACAACGCCATTTTCGCGCACGCCAACCACACGTGCACCATGCGTCTACACCCGCGTTGTCGCAGGCGGGCTCGCGCTTGGAGAGGCAACTGAGGGCGGCGATTTTGAACAGCAAAGTCGCAGCACCTGGGCGTGAGGTTGCCGTGGGCGGCGGAATAGGTGCCGAGGGCGGGGTTTCAAGGTGCGGAAAAGGGAAGGAAACCAAAAGCTATGAGTGATGAGGGGAGGGTGTAAGGGGGGTTTCCAAAGGATGCTTCCGAAGTGGAATCTTGTGAGCGTTCCAAAATGAGACTTTGGATCGAAGAACCACGGCTTGGCCTTGTTCCCTGAAAGGTGGTGCTTTGCTTGGGTGGAAGCGCATTTGCAGTCGCATTTGCCATGGTCGTTTGATGTCTTTGGTGGCATATTGTTTGATATGTTTTTTGTGTGTATTTTTATCATGAGAACGTGCTGATATGGTGATTGTATAGCCTGTATAGCTGTGTAGCCAGCATTCTGTCGTTTCTCGCGCCCTACACCGGGTGGTGACCATGCGTAGATCCCCAGAAGATCACATGAAACAGAGGAGATGGAGGGATCTGACATGATTTGGAGGTTTCAGACATGTTCTCTCAACATATCTAGACCATTTGTTCTAGATGACATGTCTGAACGTGTGTTCAGACCTCCACATCAGAGGTTCTAAAGACATGTTCTAGATGTTCAGACACACATCACACCAGGCACCAAGTCTAGAATCACATCTTCTCTCATCACGACCTGCCAACCTGCCAGCCTGCTTCGGAGAGAAACTCGCCCGAAACGTGGGGCTGGTGGGGTGAGGTTTGTATCCTCAACATGACCAAAGGCTGCGAGATGCCGCCCCCCGGCATCAAGGCCGGGATGCGAGGACAAGAGCCAGAGACCGCCTGACTCACCTTCCCCATTGGAGTTGAAGAAGGAGTACGGAAATCAGCAGCACTGGTTCACCAACTCGACCCAGCCCACCCCAGCAGAGACTACCCCATGAAGCATCTAGGTCTTGATCTACTCCCTGCTTGCAGCATCTTGCATCTCTCTCCTTGAAATATCACGAGCAACCTCAGAAGGGTAAACCCCTCGATTGGACGCCCTGCCCCTTCGCTGAATTCCCTGCAAAAGGCCGAGGTCACTTGGGCATCCCAACGGAACATACCAGTGGCTGCTGGGTCGCAAGGAGGGAAGTGATGGTCCTCTTCCCGACGAAATGAATTGAGTTGGACCATTTCCTGCGCGGATGCAACTCCATGCATCCAAATTTTTGCATCGCTTTGAGGGGTTGACAGGTTTTTGCCTCCAGTCCTTTTGTAGTTGATAGAAACAATTGATATTGGCCACAGAGATTTAGCTCATGGCTCATTAGGAAGTTGAGGCCCCAAAACCTATGTACTTCACCGCAGGCACCTCACACCGGCCCAAAGGTGTTGCATGGTTGCATGGTGTTGACACTCCAAGAGAAGTGAACGGCCACACAAGACTGTTGATGACCGCTAGAATCATGGTTAGGTCACCTGGTGCTTTTGACATTGATGGCTTTGAATAAACAAGCACTAAGCAATCTTGATAGCGCCTGATTATGATTTCGATTCAAGGACCCCTGACTCCCGCTGACTTCCGCTGAGAAGAATTGCGTGCTGAGGAGATGCTGATAATGCACATCTTTTTAGATTGCAATTTCAGCATAGCTAATATGCATCAGAGAGATCACTGTTGCAACTGCTGGCATACCAAATCCAGGCAATTCGCGCGCAGTCACTGAATGGCGTTCTTTGTTGATTTGTTTTTCTATATCCAGCAAGAAGAGAACCTTGTTCGGCATGGTGGCCTCAACATCGACCACAGTCCCACAACCCGATAATCTTTCCATAAAGCCCGTTTTGAACCACTCCCACATCGTTTTGCAGCCTGGTATGATCGAGGTCCCCTTCTACGATGCCGACCGCTATGACTGGAAGGAGGCAACACACACCATTATGAGCCAGTTGTCCGTCGAAGGGTGTGGGTGGGAAGAACATCGCGAGGTATAGTTGGCCAAACCTTGGGTAAACTAGACAGAAACGATGTGCAAGACATGTTCGAAAGGGGCTGTCACTTTGGGGTGTCCAGTGAGTGGTCCAGCTTTGAAACCAGAAAGACATGGTGGCACTTTTCGATTTGGACTTCTCAAGATATTCATGCATAAAATCTGATGAGGAGGACAACTAAACCACTGGATGCTGTTTGAGTGGTTTTTTTCGAACTCTCCAACTCGAAGGTTGCTTTCTCAGACCAGCAGGCAGTCAGCGAGGCTGTGACTCTTTCCTGGGCAGGATTGAAAAGGATTCCTTCATGGAGCCAGGCTAGGAATTGACTCCGGCTAGTCAAGGAGAACTAGTTTTTGTGGGTGAACATCAGTGGTGAAAGCACATGGTTTTCCAAGGATTGGGTTAAGTTGCGTCCTTTCTCCTCCCTTTCAGAAGAACCCAGTCTACGACCAGAACATACAAGAACTGCTCAAGGACAAGCTACCTAGAGCAGTCCTCTGGTCTACATCTTGCATGACCGCCAAATATACATACGTCTCGCAGTTCTCCGGAATTTCAACATGCACATACATCGAATGCGATCAGTCGGACCGTCCCTGGCCTTCTTGGGGCGCTCGATTCGAGCCCAACCAACTGGTGGGGGTCGGCGTGTCGGCCTCCCCCAAACTGGAGCGATCGGGTGCCAGGCGGCCACGTGGAAGGTGGAGATACCCATCTGCTTCCGCTGGGGCTTGGGCCCGGTTCGCTACAAGCGACAAGCGCACGAGGAGGCCGTGTTGGGCACGACGGAAGCACCTGTTTTTTTGCGGCAAGTGGCTCTTTGTTTGGCCATGGAAGCTGCCTGGAGAGGTCACTGTCACTATCCCAACCCTCCGTTCACCATCCGACCAGTCCCTCGAAAAGGGTCCCAGGTATTGGCACATGTTGGAAGCAGAGTTTGCACTGTGTTGAGTCCAGGAAGAAAGGTTGAAGTTGAGGGTTACGAAGCAGTATCTCAACATATTGAAATATATTTGAATTGTATGTTGAATTCACCAGCGATTGAAACTCGTTGTTTTAAAGTCCCAATCAGTCCTGATGATCCTGATGGAATTTTCCAGCCTGCTCCCATGATTGTTATTTTGAAGACTCCATCCAGGTAGGGCGAAATCTCGCGCCATGCGTGTGAACATTGCCCCTTTGGTACCTTCCATGCAAACCAACGCTGCGACAAATTCAAGATCGTCTCCAAAAGAGGAACCACAAAACCATCGGACAACACCCTCTGCGGCACTGTTTTTTCACTCGAAAGGCCAAGGAACAGCTGCGCGCAGCGCTGCGAGCAGCAATGAAGGAGGGGAGATGCATTTTCATTGAAGTGGGAGCGACATGACCGTGGCTGAAATGGCTGAAGTGGGTATCCAGAGAGCAAGACATTTGGGCGGGTCAGCAGACCCAAGATTCTTTTCGGCGAAAAACAACTGTATTTTGTTTTGGGGGGGGCCCTGAATTGTGGCAGCATTAATGTTATTGATTTTCAAGGACACCCCGTGCTAAACGGCAGATCACAAGAATCACAACACGGCATACATAAAGAGGAGGAGATGACCTGGCTGTTCACATGTGCCTTTGGTCATGATACCGGCATAAATTGGTTCGATCCTTGAGTGAAGAGACTAGACTACCTGGGAGGTCATGATCTTAGGGATTTGTGTCTCCACGTTCCTTCCCGGACCTCTGCCGTCCGACTGTCCTTCCCGCACGTCTGCGGAACCGGGAATCTGAACTTTTTCCCAAGGAATGCTGATCGATCTGATTGGCACAGCAGACGAGTGTTTTGTAGAAAGGGATTTCTCCACAAGGATTCTCATTGAGAAAGAAACCCATATGAGACCGTCAACGCTGTTTTATTTAGGATCACTTGGTCGGACCTTCGGACATGTGTCAAAATTCATCAAAGTCATCAAATAGGTTCGCCCAACAGAATTCTTTTCTGGCCAAAGCAGCAACAACCTTGGGGAGTTTCTGTCGTTTCATATCAGATTAGATCCATGAAACTTTCTGGAACCTATTCTTGGCTGGAACGAGAAAAGCTTTGATAGATGGTCACCCCACTGAATCGACGTGACCCTACAGCCACACGACCACTGCAGGACCTGGAATTCCGGGGCTCTACGCAGGAACAGGAACAGAAGGAGCAGCAACGTCTGCAGCAGGTGGCACAAAGCCTCGGCGGCGGCGCTGCACCTCGGCGCCAGACATGGCGGGTGTGTATTTTAGGCAGGCACCCTGATCCAATGGATAGACTGGCACTGGTCCATTTTGACTTCTTTCAGCAGGTCGTTGACTGGGAGGTCTCCCGATGCTCTCGCCGTTGAAACCGTGCGGTTGAAACCGGGTGGCCATGGCACCGGGTCGGCTGGACACGCGCGGACCGTTCGTTGGAAACAGGTTTTTCGTCCTCGTCTTCAGTCATGGGAAGTCTTTTTGATTCACTTGCCTTCCGGGTTCTATGCCTTCTCTTCATCCGATTGAATGGTGGCAATGGTGGAAGAACTTCAAAAGCTCCTTTTGTTTTTGGCGGACCTTGTGGCATGCGCCCGCCCAACTTCTCCCTCATTGGTCCCCCTTATTCAAACACCCCACGTCTCCGCGCGCGTCCGACCACGTGGGGCCGCGCGTCCAACCGCTGTCGCCGGGGCGCCGAGGAGGGCGGCGGCGAGTTCAGCCGCGCCGAGCTGCGGCTCCGCGAGGCGCGGCACAGCTCCAGCGCCTCGCAGGCGGGGGGGCCGCGTGGTTGGATGGGGCGGGGCGGGTTTGGGGGAGTTTTGGAGAAAAGATGTGGAGAAGATGCCCCTATAGGACATATGACATGTGCAAAAAGGAAAGTTGAAAGAAGATTGAGAATATACATGTTTTAAACAACTCTTGGGGCTCTTGGGATCTTTGGAAGATGAGATTTTGTGCTGTGAGACTTGCGGCGTATGGATCCTATGGCTCATATTATGGCTCTGATGGTGGGCGTGAGATGGCGTGAGTGTGTCGGTCCTTCAACTCATTTGAACTCCCAGCCAAAGCGACTCCGCGTTTGAGTCCACAGAAAGATCCGCACACTCTTTTGCAGAGACTTCCAGCAACGAATCCATCACAAGCTTCCAAAAAAGCTTCCAAAATGGATGACTCCGAACTCGTGGGGGAAAGTACCAATCTCAAAAAAACCAATTCCTCCACCAGGGCTGTCTATATAGTTAATATTATAATATATACCCTAGACTTCCAAGACCCTTAAAAAAAATAATTGACCTGGTTTTTGTAGTGTAGAATTAGAATCCTTAGTTGATTCGGGTTTCAGCCTATTAATGGTTGTTGGAAGCCTAGGGTATAGCTCCTTAGAGTTGATTCGGGGTCTCCCTTCACCACCCAGGCCCTGGCACTCTTCGATCTTGGGGACCCTCAGGAAGCGGCGGCCCGACGAGCGGCACTGGTGGCGGAGGAGGCGGACTTGGAGGATGTGGCATTGGGGCTCCTCGCCAGGAAGTTGTGGGGGCTTGGGGCAGGTGTAGCTGGGGTGAGCTAGCTCAGGTACATGGTTGATGAATAGTAGATGGGATCCGGATCCATCATGATGGAGAGGTTTTACATGGGTTTTTGGGTTTTACCATCCCAAATTGGGGTGGGTTTGATTCGTCGACTTGACCATAACCGACCAGTGGATGAGCTGCCGGCGCCGCGTCGAGCGTGGGGGGGAGCTGCTCGGGATACCCCACGAGCTGCTGGGAACAGCCTGGTTGAATTGAACAGCTGAAGCGACAGGATGGTCCTCGGAAACTGAGGGAGAAGCGTACCAGGACTGTCGGGGTCTCCAATAGACTGCCCTACTGGCTTCCATCGGACACCCGACAGGACGACCCTGGTAGTGTGAGTGAGGTGCTGTGATTTAGATGGTGATTTTAAAGAACTACGGATCAGTGTACTGGATTCATTGCGGTTCAGAGTGTTTGGTGGAGTGGAACCTATGGGGAAATCATGGATCTGAACGATCGCTCTCCACTGAGAATTGACATGAAAAAAAACTGCATCCCACTTGACACCAAGGCTGAAACGAGAACGAAAGGACAGAGGACCCATTCCGAAAGAAGGTTTTCTTCTCCCTATAGAAGTCCAAAGACTATCATAATTAGTATGGTCCCGAAATTATAGTATAAGAAATGATTGTTCCGAAGACTCTAATTCAGAACCATAATTACAAGTACGTTCCCAAAATTCAGGTCCCCAGACATCGCTAGACCCTTCGCCCTTGGTCTTTCGGTGCGCTTCGGCGAAGACGTCGTTCGCACCGGGGTGAACGCGGCAGGAGCACCAGACCGGCTGAACGGATCTTCCAACAGATCTCGGCTATAGCAAGAAGATTTGCTCCACCCAGTGGGGGGGGTATCCACCACTTGGGATTTACCTAGCCAACCTCTTAAAGGTCTTACTCATACTCGTCTTCATCCCTCCTCACAAAGAAGTTTCGGTGCCGTGTTGGCCCCACCGATCGTTTGGCGCCGTCGCCATGGCGGCTCCCGTGGCCGTGGCGGTGTGGACCATGGGCGGCGAGCGCGTGGCGACGGTGGAGTGCCCGGGCGAGAGCACCGTGCGGTGGCTGAAGCGCGAGAGCCACGGCGAGAGCCACGGGACGGGACGGGAGGCGAAGGGATGAGATTCGGATGACTTCGGTAGAGATAAGCAAGGTGAAGGTGAAGGGGCGGCAAAGGCAGACTGTATGGTTTTGTTCAAAGGCATGTGTTTTGGGTGCAGCCTTCTTGACTTCGCGAACGGAAGCGGAATAGACCTTCATTTCACGTGTTTGAGGGTTCAATCTTCTTGAAATGGAACATGCACCCCTCAAAAGACCTCCTTGCCTGCTGCAAAAGGAGTTGGCCTCTTGGAAGGATAGGTGGTGTGTTCACTTCAGTTCTTCAAGAGTTCCTGTTCATGGACATACTCTGAAAGAAGGGAGGACACAGACTCATACACATCGTAATATCGTACTAATGAGTATATCAATACCTGGATCCTCCTTTGGGCGGAAAAAAGTGCCGGACTGAAGATCTGGGTATAACATAAAGACCAACCGAACTTCCTCCATATGGGAACCTTCCGCACCTGCTGAGATGACCCCCCTCATCTTCTCAGGATCGCTGCTCAGGCCGAGTGGACACGTGCCACGGCTTCACCTGACGCGGTGGTGGAACTGATGCAGCTGACGCACGAGACGCTGGGGGTTTTGCACGATGCGCGGCAGTTGAAGGACCTCGGGTTGAAGTCATTGGAGCTTCAAGTGGTGCCTTGGACCATGGTTGAAGTGGTTGAGTGGGTGAGTAATGTAGACTCTTATGGATGACATTTCAACCTCTATATAGCATGAAGAGGTGCTTTTCAAGCCTATTTTTTGCTCATCAAGAGTCCACCCACCTGGACCATCCAATGGGGTGTCCGTTTTCTGAAGATTGCCAAATAGTGTAGGGTGTGTCTTTTGGAAGTCGAAGGCCAATGGGGACAGTCCTCGTGCATCACGGTGGTTTTCAGGAAGTGGAAGAGTTGCGACTGGAAGAGGAAGACCATGAGACCACTTCCATGCGAGTCTTTCTCAGAGAGTATATAAACTTGTTGAGAAAAGAGTCATGCAACATGCTACAAGCTCCACATGGACTAGACCGTTGCCCACAGCCATCCGAAGGAAGAAACACGAGGATTCCACCATGAGAATGGCAATGGAGGACGACCACCTCCAGCGTCCCCACAGGTGGTGTTGTTATGAACAAATCACTGGATGACCTACTGGTAGTGGCTGGCACAGCCGGCACATGAGGTTTGGAACAGCTTCCGCACCATTGCCAGCGAGTACTACACCAAGCTCCGCCATGCACGGCCAGGCAAGTCCTTCGCTGCCGCTGGCTTAGAGCTGCAGGGATTGAAGACCCTCTGCAGTGTGATGCGGGAGGTCTTTCTGAAGGAGAGGACCTCGATGTGGTCCGGTTCATCTAGGAATTGGCAAGGGGCAGGCTACAGGAAACCAGGTTTTTTTCACACCAGTTTCCTGTAGGTTTGGAACTAAGACCGATTCTGGGAGGCTGAGGAACAGGGGGTCAGGACCTCTTGAACAAAGTGCAGTGAAGTGCAGACCTACAAGATGGATATCTGGCCTCCAAGGAGGGATTGACATTTGCCACTGCTGCTGGGTCATTGATTTTGTAGCTTCTGGCACTAGCGGGCGTCGCCCACAGAAGGTGTGAAAGTCCCAAAAAGGATTTAGAACGATTTTCCCGAAGCTCGAGCCTTTGTAGGTTCCTTTTCTTGTTTCGCTTCGTTTGCTCGTTGTCCTGTTCTCTAACTCGTCGATCTGGATGGTCCAAATTTCAATCAAAGTACCCTTGCACTCCGACGAACAGTGTCACACGGAAGTAGATAACAATACCATATGGCTGTGGTTCAAAACCCGGAGCGCCAGGTAGTCTATTCTGTTCATTTTGGGTGGTCAAGCAGAAAACTCCCCCGGCTTGACCCACAGCCATATGACCCCCCTTTGTGCCAAGGTCTCGCATGGCCTTCCATATCTTACATGACCCAGACACTCCATGTATATATGCAATATATATATATATAATATATGCCTACATTGACCCCAGGTCAACCACTCAATGTAGGCATATATGGCAGTCCCATTAGTCGCGTCTGAGTGAAATCAAGTCGTCGATCACCTCGCGGTACCCTGCGATCGACGCGATCGACCTGACCGCTGGCCTGCACCGCTGACCTGACCAACGTGACCCACGCTGGTCGACCATGGCTCAATCCGAAAGACACAGGTAGAGCTCCCCGGTGTTTCTTTGGGAAAAGCTGATCTTTGGCAGACTCGGTGTGGTCAACGATGACTGTTTGTCCACGAGGTGCAAAGCGGGCCTAGAGTGACCATGGTCTCAACTCCAGAGCAGAGTCACCTGACCTTTTTCAACTCTTCAAAATAGCCCTTTCACCACAAACACTGCAGGAGCCCTTGCTCTTGGAGCTTGAGCCGCCGCTGTGCCTAGCGGGGAATCTGGCAGGTTCGTTGAAGCAGTTGACATTGATCTTCGACACCTGCGGCGATCCGCCTTCCTCACGGTATTTGTTTCTGGGGAACTATGTCCATCTGGGGACGCTTGAAATGCGAACGTGCTGCGAATTGGTCTCCAGTGATTGGGACATGTCGGACAAATGGCCTCAGACAACAGCTGTTTGGAACGGTCATATATTTGCCGATTCACTTGGAGAGTGCTTCGTTCAGGGGTCAATGCAATGTATTATACCTGGACCATCCAGTTGGTGTCTCCAATTGACTATCCTACAAGTCTTGGTGTCTACTCAGCCAGGCCCAAAACGGCGAACGCCTTGGCATCTCCAGACCACGATCGACTCCGCCCCACACGCGTCCCGCTCGATTGGGATGGTCCGACGTTCGGGACCTTGGTCCTGCGTTCCTGAGTCACATGGATTGGATGGTGCCATTCACCTCCATGATTCTTTCACGGAGTGTATTGCTATAACTTCTATAGTCCTTATAGGGCTCCAACCACCTGAGAGGATGGTTGGGGTGGATGACAGGGGGGTCTAACCACGGAACCTGAGGATATGAGTGGTTGGAGCCCTAGGCCTAGGGAGTGGCGGTGAACAAGGTGTTTTCACACGTGACGTGTTGGGTCGAACGTGACTGAACGGGTCGTCCGGCCTCGAGAGGTGCGGACGTGTGGACCCGAGTGTCTGGGGTGGACGGTGCCCGGACGGTGCCCGGACGCCCACTTACGGATCTTCAGACAGGACACCCCAACAGGATAGTCCAGGTATATACCAGAACCAGAACTAGAAAGGGATGATCAAATTTCATGTCAGTGACCCAAGTGTGGGGATTTTCTGGTCCATTCCAGGCGAGATTTTCTGTATGAATGTTCAAATTTATGTGTGATACTGCTCAGTACTTCGTTGCTGGGATTCAACCGGTGTCGAAATTGACAGGAAGAGCTCCCTTGAGACCTTCACGCTGCTACTGCTCTGCAAGTACTTATGGCCCCAGGAGGTCTTCATCTTGCGCGGAAAGCACGAGGATGCCAGCATCTCGCGGTCCTATGGCTTTTACGAGGAGAGAAGACGGGACACAGAGCGCAGCCCGATCTCGCGCAGCATTTTTCATTGGGTGATCACTCAGGCCACTTTGGCCATTTCGTTGAATTAGGAACATGCTTAACCAGCTCTGTGGCCGTGGAACACGGACTGCCATATACACGAATGGTCATCAGAGCGAAGTCGTGCCTCCGAAGTCTGGTGAAGTGAACAAAGAGAGCAGAGAGCAACCAAGTGATGGTAAATAGGACCCGTCACCTGGGATACCCAACTGATAGTCGAACTGGGGTCCTTCAAGCTCTGTTGCTCAAAGCTTTGGGGATTCTTCTGAGACTGAACAACTTGGGGATCCCTGAATTCGCCTCGACGGAGAAACTCTTTTT